CAATCAGCCGTCACTTGTTTCGTCGTTTTACCGCTTATCGCTTACTGCTTGCCGCTTATCGCTTCTCTACATACTCACGGCCTAAGAGATATCATCATTTAATCCTCACCGCGCCGAGTCGACTCACTTTCGCGATGACACGATAAAACGAAATACTATTTCCTGTACAAACTGCAATTGAATAAAATCAGAAATTTATAGAATGCTTACCCATACTTTTTTCCTTTCCTTCATATGATATGAGTGTTACTAAATATTTAGTACTTAAAACTTCAATATACCTGGTCAGTCAAGAAACTCCACTCGTTTAGCTACCTCACTGTTCTTGGTCGATGGTTCGAAAGTTACGAAATCCTACGAAAGATCGGAATTTTTTTTCATGTAATGTTTCTTTTCTTAAGGTAAAAGAAATAGGACTGAGAAAGAAGTGCTTTATTAATTCGTTACAAAGGTCCTGAAAGATATAAAAAAATATGGAATAAAATTAATCTAATCTACTCACCATATTTTTAAAATTGCAATGCAAGGAACTCGAATAAATATTTGATTCTAACTAAGTATCTAAAATTAATCTTCATAAATGAAAAGTGTAAATTATGTGTAATTTGATTTCCATATCTTCCTTCCATTTTCAAAGCGTCGAAGCGGCCCTTTTCGATATCTTATCAAGGTATTTACAAACTTGATCTTTCTACTGAAACAAATTTGCACATTAAATGGTTGTCAGTATGTTAATAAGGATATTCGAATATCGTCGTTCGAAGGACTAACGTGAATTGACGTGATCTGATATACAAAGATGCTTCGAGTTTCAAATCACCATCGTCTAACATTACGCTAATTAAGGGCCGTATTCTACAGAGATGACATATCTTCCGCGTGTAATTGGAGCAAGATGTATTTACGTGATGGAACCTATCATCTTCTCGCCGTTCACGGGATCCGATCGACCCGATGATAATTGATGCACACTTAATAACGAACGACCCGCGCAAAGTAATTAAGAGCATGCACGCAAATTTATCAAGATCCACCACGGAACATGCTATTAACGTCAAGATGTCCCAAGTCGAGATATGTAAACTCGTCTTTAGCGACGATTGCTCGAAAACGAGTACGCGTAACCGAGCCCTCTTAGATTATATTACCTTCGGGCTCCATTATTTTGATCGTATCTGTTTCAACCGATATTATTTAAAAAATTTATGAATCTAGATTTCCAGGTTGGTTAGGTATGTCAAATCGAACGTATAATATAAATAATTCTGAATTGCAACAAATTTCGATGTAATTATCAAAACTTTCACAGACTCGTATCATTGTAAGAAGATAACTATTCTAGCAAAATAACGCAATAAATTAATTTAGAAGGTTAGTTGAAATCATTTTTTTCCGATAATGTTATTAATAGACGAATGTTTCTACGTTTCATGAACCTATGTGTTCAAAGCCAATAAATTATTCAAGTATCATTCCTTAACATCTGTGTACCATACCGTCTGCAATAGAGTAAATCAAACATCTTCGATAATCTAACATACTAAAAATCTAACATACTAAATAAATAAACAACCGAAACCTTTACTCCGTTACTTAAAATCATATTGAAAAATATCTGAATGTTTTACTATTCGAATGTATGTATAATACATTATAATAAACTGTTATCCTAACAAAATATCTGCTAGTAAGAAATTCTTCTTTTCTATTACAAATGCTATTATTATATGCATTAGAGTATAAACTACAAATTAGAATGATGAGCATGTACTTTCTTATGTACGAAAAGATGTAGTTCTCTAGCGGTCAAAAAAATATAGACCCCTTACAGGTTAAAACAAACTAACGCTTCTTTGATTTCTATTTGGACAAATGAAACATTAATATCAAAAATGTGATTATTCTATTACCTAAAAATTCCATTATCAGAATACTTCTGATCTCCCTATTCATATGAGCAGAATACATATGAGCAGAAGTACCACAATATCTTCTTTCGTTCATTTTAGCATACTTCAAATTACAAACTAAAATTCTCAAAATATTCTCAATAAACCTTGTTTCAGCATTCTTTCTATACGAATCTTAAAAATGAAATCTACCATATAATATTATCACTCTTATATGTATGTATACGAGAGATAAAAGCTTACCGAAGAATTCGAGAGTGAAGATAAAAAAAATTCCGAACATTTCCCCTGTGCAAATGGATTAGTGGTCCGGGGAAGTATTCTGGTTGCATGGAAACCTCGAGGGGGAACAGATAATCGATGAGGGAAACCAAATGTCTTGACCATAGCGAGGAATTGACGGACAAGGCGCTATCCTAAAGGGAATTCTCGAGCAGAGATCGTGCTTTCCCGCCTCTGCGGAGAAACCGAGCAATAAATTCGCGGATACGTCGCCGACAGAAGGATCTGATAGCGGCGAAACTTGCCCGTGCAAAACCCTTCTCTTCACCGTCCGTGTCCACCGAATATGGAAACCCTTCGTTAAACCATTCGAATATCCATACGTCTATGTCATCAATTTTATTAAATTACGAAACGTGTCGCAAAAATAAATTTCTCGAAGCAATTCAGGTATGTTTTATATCTATGTCCCGTTTCAATTGTAATTTTCGCGATTTAAATTAAATAGAATTTTGTTTGCAACAATTTAAATCTGCTTTAAATCTAGCGGTTACTACTATACATATATAATGACCACAAATTTTCATGATCACAATAATACTACAATAATAACAAAAAGTTACTACATATGTATATATAAATAAATTATTTTATCATTAAATGTGTGAATTTTTAATATTACGCAATGATATCTTGTTCTCTACATTCTTTTAACTTATGTATGATGCTGTAAAATAGGAAAATTGCAACATTTTCCGCATTATACCGTGACTATTATTTTTTTAATACATTATATGAAACATAATACATAATGTGATTGTACAAGAATGTAGTATATTACTTTAAGTTTTGAACCTTAGGCTGTGATTATACAGAAAAACGATAATCGATAAGCAGTAAGCGATAAACAGCAAAGCGGCAAAACAACTGAGGGCTAAGCAACAAAAAATAAATCGAACCCATAGATTTCAATGTATATTGCAAATAATTCGTTACTCGTTGCTCAGCTGCTGTATGGCATATTACATGTCAATCTATAAATTCGTTGTATTTTCTGTCGCTCAGCAGTCTCTTGTTTTATCGTTCTACTGCTTATCGCTCTTTTGTATAATTACGGCTATCGTATCGTTGACTAAGAATACGATAGATTTCTGGAAAAGTGACCGTAGAAAAGTGTTCCACAGCCCGGTGCTGCGTAGCCCTTTACACTATTTTCATGTCATATGCGACATTATAGCTGCAGTATAGAATAAGATATCAGCAGTACTAGGAGGGTAGAAATTATATTTAAGTCAATGGTCGACATAATTACAATTGGGAATGATCTATATTCTGCACAAATCATTCAGATTTAGTGAGAGTAGTGCGTATATGCAGATATATACAGAGAGAAAACAAAAATGTTCGCGCTCGTAGCCTAGTTTTCTCTCACAGTACAGGTGCTGCTCCATGCGACAAAGTGTTGAAGGTGGCACACATTAGCATGTACAAGAACCTATAAAATTAGGGATCTGCACTGTTTAGTTGCACGTTAGTATATACAAGAACCTATGTATTTAGGCTCAAAGTTAGGGATATGTCCTGTTTAGTTGCACACTGTTATTAAATAGGTTTTGGGGTTCGATATTTAATTGATTCACACACATTTAGTTTTTATATTGTGTATTTCACCACCATGTACAGCCACATGAACACACCGGATACACTCAGATAATTAACACGTAGCGGACGCCAAAACAAAAGGGCGTCGTTAGAAGTCATGCCAACTTTGCATGTAGAAACTAGTGATCATACCAACCTAATATTTTCCTCAACATTCCCCTTTGATCATAGTTTCTACAAGCCCCATAGCTTTGGTAAAATATTGAGTCTTGTCCCTATTTAAAACTTTGGTAAGAATATCAGCAACATTCTCAGAACTTGGCACATAAACATAATCTAATATACCTTTCGACACGCAATTTTTAACGTAGAAATAATGGACTTGAACATGCTTAGAACTCTCACTACAGTAGCGGTATACATTATATGCCCAACAGCCTATCCATACAATTTATTGTCAAAGGGTTCATCGCACCCAATATCAAAACCAGCTTCATATTCCTTAGCTAGTGGTGTTGACACTTCAGTCTCATGAGTAATGTCAAACAGAGCTAGCATTTGGTCTATCTGCACAGATTGATCAAACACGACAGTAGTGCTGTTTGGCTTACTCAGATGGATGGACCAAAATTGAATGTCAGTACCTAGCATCCTAACATTTAGTTTCGCCTTAATATTAGTCTTGAACATACAGATCGCAGTCTTTGTTCCAAATGTAAGAATATCATCCACATACCTGGGTTTAGATTCATACCTTCAAAATATTATAAATATGTTTGAACCACATTCTCCCAGATTGCTTCAGTCCACACAAGCTCTTCTTAATTTTACCCACATATTGAGTCATCATCATGTGTTACAATAGCCTCATCCTTTTTACACATGGTAGTAACACCCTTCTTTGCCAACTGCCTGATCGAGATTAGATTTACATCTCAGTCAGATACTCACAGAGCGTTTGACAAAGAGAAGGTTCAACCCTCACAGGGCTCAGCCATTTTCACAATGATCATTCCCTTCCCCTTAAGTTCCAGATGTCCCTTAACAATCCTGATATGTCCCATCGCAGGTGCAAAGTCCACAAAGCGATCTGGAGTCATATGGTTTGAGGCGCCTAAGTCAAGGTAACTGATCTCCCTCTTTCCAAACAGCTGATGGAGGATAAGATCAATGTTGAGATGAGTCATTTGGAACTTGGCTGGTATTCTGGTCCCCTCTCCTTCTTGTTTCTTCTTCTCCTTGGGGTTCTCCTCTCTATCTGATACACTAGTACAAAATATGGCCCCATTTTCCACATTTGTAACACTTCTGGTTATGTGTGTCTCTGTTCTTCAGCTTCACACCATATTTGTTTTGATGTGGCTTGGGCTTCCATTGTCTTCTAGTCGCAATTGCGCTGCCTTGCTCGAACGACTCCGCAGCCGCATCGATTCTTTTTTCTTCAAGTAGAAGATCGGCCTTCACCATCCTCGAGGTCAGATCCTTATTAATCTTTGTTACTCTGACATACGTCGAGTAATTTGGATCTGTCACGAGGCCAGCCAAAATGAATAATGCCACAACATGATCCTCAAATTTCTTTTTTTTTTATTTATTTATTTGGATTTTTTACAATTTGTCCAGTAGGATATTCCTCAAATTTGATACCAGCTTTCGATAACTTGTCACACAGGACTTGTGATTTTCCCACAGTACGTGGAGATATCCATGCTAGGGGTCTTCTCGATAGTGCACAGTTCCCGCAGGCACAAGGCAATGCCCATCGATGTGAGTCTCTCATGGCGCTCTTCTAGTGCTTTCCGGCACTCCTTCGCCGCTTTGTTATCCATTTTAACATACTCGGGTCTTACCCTTTCTGCTGCAGTCAATCCTGGATCCACCGCATCCCAGCAGTCCAGCAAAACCATCGAAGCTTCCGTCATCGTCTTCCAGTACTCATAGTTGTCCCTATTGAGAATTAGATTCATATCTTTGCCCACATCGCTCATCTTCTCCTGGTGGGCCATGGCGTAGCTTTTTCTCGGATATTTACAGAAACAAAAAACTCAACAATAAATATTTTCACTGCCCTGGGCCCATAACCTGTTATTAAATAGGTTTTGGAGTTCGATATTTAATTGATTCACACAGAATCAGTTTTTATTGTGTATTTCGCCACCTGTACAGCCATATGATCACACCGGATATACACAGATAATTAACACGCGGCGGACGCCAAAACAAAAGGGCGTCGTTAGAAGTCGTACCAACTTTGCATGTAGGAACTAGTGATCATACCAACTTAGTATTTTCCTCAACACACACTGCATACACAAGAATCTATTTAATTGTACGGTTCTGCGGAAAAGTTCATATCTATTTTTCTATCCCAGACCATCCTGAATAAACATTGATGAAAGTTTCATGAAAACAGGGCCAATAATATAAAAGTTTTATTGTTGCATTGTTGCCTCATCGATATCCTATCTTGGATCGAGTAATGTTGCTCGCCATTATCTGTGTAGTCGGTAGTAGATGCTCAATAAAGAAAAACTACGTAATTGTTTTATCGTAGATCCTAAGATATCATCAAAGTGCTAAAATATCACTACCGTGAGTATTTTTTAATTGAAAAAAAATGGCAAAACTTCGTCTCTTGGTGCAATTTTTCCTCAGCTATTATTTCGTACTTTTTTGATAATACAGGAAATACTCGATAATTCTACAAAAATCAGAACTCAAATATTGCATTAATGAAGATGTAGAAACGATTCTATTTCTGGAAATTGAGATCTTAGACGTGTAGAAAAGGATAATTCGAGTGAAAGAGAAAGCGAGAATCGAAGCGATCGACAAATATTAAAGCATTGCGATAAGTTGACTTTTAACTCAAAAATCAAACTTTTTTATTTTAATTTTTGATCAATAAAACTTTTACCAACATGCTTCCTATATTTTTCTATTAAAATAACACCAAATACGATATAATTTGGTTTCATTTTTAAATTAATACCCAGGTACATTGTCTCAACGATATCCGACATTGGATCATGTCATACTACACGATCGTGGCGGGCCGTCGAGTTTTTCGCCAGGGGAACCTTCTCTTCATAGTGGGAATGACGAGTGTGCAATCAAGATTCCTCTTTAGTTGTTAAATAGTTTTTTGCAAAAACTAATAAACATTTGAACATGAGATTTTGCATACTTTTCAGAATGACCAAAACTATATTTTCATAAAGTTTCTACTTCTTATTCTCAATTTTACGTGAATAATTGACAATTGAAAATAATGCGATTTCGGGTAGTTTTTATTTATTTACGACTTAACCATTCTTAACGTGTGATGCCTCATTTGATAGATATCTTTAATACCTACAATTTTTAGAGCAAACTTTTTATGAACTTATTATTGGAATCGTTGTTATATCCAAAAAATCTGTTTTCGATAACCTTAAAGGTAATTTACAAAATCTGTGTCAGAAATTTTGAGTGGCAAACATATAGAATTTGTTCCTGAATATAATTTCGCGAACATAAAAACTGACAAATGACAGATCGGTTTGTTCTGTATCTTTGGATTACATTTTGATACGCAATACATCAAAGGAATGATACGCATGGGCTTTTAAGCAATAAGTACATTACGTCCACCTTTAGAGTTAGAAATAATTAATTAAATAATTAATAAAATAAATAATTAATATTAAAATGGTGAAAAGATTTTCTTTTGTTTGGTACTTGTTCGACCGTTTGCAGAGAGACGCGTTCCCCGTAGATCGCATCAACAGGAGTTGTAAATTCCCGTTACGATTATCTCATCGATGCTACGAAATGATCGATCCCCTATTTCGTTCAGAATAATAGAGGTGGTTGAATCGATTATAACACTGCAGTAACAGGTTACAATGTATACTTTATTCCAACAACTTAATGGATTTAACATTCAATAGAACGGTGAATATGTCAACAGACAGAATACAAGTTAAGACGGAGTATATGATACACGTGCGTACAGTGACTGATCAGAGATCAAATTGAAGACTAAAACTAAAAACTCCTGTTCTGTGACGGAGGTATTTAAATTATAGGTCAGTTACGAGTGGAAATCCCGGGATAAATAGGAAAAACAAAGTTTCCCCGATTTTTTATTGGTTGGAATAATGGCCCTAAGGAATGGCTCGAATCGACCTCTACGTTGCAGCAATTGAGGGCCATGCAGTTAAAACATTTTTTTTTTATTTATTTGTTGAAATTACAATCAATTCTCGCGTTGAGAATTTTCGGTAATTTTTCTGGCGTGGCGCAGTGACATGGCTGTTTATTTATAATAAGTTAATGCTTATTATAGATAAGTACAATTTATAAGTATTATAAGTAAGTGCATATGCCTAATTTGGATAACTAAATGAATCTAGCGTTTAGGTCTAGCGGGTAGTGCAGTTAAAACATAAAATGATATTTCGTTTTATGACCGTGCCTTAGGATTACTGCGGGCCGACCTATGATGTTTGCACCGCTAGCGGACGTCCCGACCGAAGGACAGATTTCAGCCCGTACAGCCGTACAGCCCGTAACAATACTAATAGTTTTTGGATATAAATACAGAAGGAATGGCTTTCTATAGGAAATATCACGACAGATTGTTTAATGTATTAATAACTGTATAGTTCCATAAAAAAACTGAAATTGCCCTTTTTTGGATCTCTGAACAATTCTTTACGACATCTCGATAAACAGCATATATTTTAAAACTTTCTACTTTCCTTGCCACAATATTAAATACCGAATCATAAATCTGATCATCGCACAGCGGGAGTGACATATAGTATAGATTGACTATGAGTGCATGTCTGCCGACAATTGTCAATGTAGACTAGGCTTTTATACACAAACGGTCCCTGGAATTTTCCCTCTAAAATACGCTAAAAACTGTTATATTTCAGATGTGGTCACACGTCGTGTGACGTATGACGTGTCATAATCCCTATTCATCGAGTACTCTCAGAAAATGCAAAACACGTTAAAAAAGATTGGTGCCCGGAAACGAAGTTTAATAAAAAAATTAAAGCACCAAACAAAATAAAATAAAACTATCATACAAATTTTTATTATTCCAACACTTCGATTGAAGTATGTCAACTGTAGTGAATTTTCACGAGTCAGTAATTTTGTTTGGTAATTTAAGAAGCATCATAGCAAATAAGAAATTCGATATTTGTTTACAGTGTTTATAGCAACCTAATAGGTAGTAGCCAGCGACTTTGACTCACTTGATTTCTTAGGGACTGACGAATTTGTAACGTATTACAACAGTAAATGGTCATTGAATTCGTCTCAACAAACGTCATCTTCATTCTCATCATACGTACTAAAGAAAAACAATATGTGGTTCCATGCGACGATGAAAAATTATTCATGCCAATAGAATTAACATGTCGAATGCCAAGAATTAATATTAAATCTAAATAGTGCATGGAAAATATATTTAAATTATTGGACCTGTGTATTGGCACTCGACTACCGCGTCGGACGACGGCAGCGCAGTGGTTAGCGCCTTAGGTTACGAACGTTCGGGACCCGGGTTCTCAAATTCCGGCGACCGTAGTCCGATTTTTCTTCCACAATATAAAAATGAGAAGAAAAGCAGCGGTACCCCAGCAGCGGCGTCTACACTAGCAGCAGAACCTATCTCGGATTCTACACCAGCAGTAGCGCACTATCGCCACTACTACAGTTCACCTCAGACCATTCCACTGATTCATTATCCTTTGAAAGGAAATATCTCTTTTTCTTCTCTAACAAAAATATAGTAAACATATAATTTCCCTTTATAAATTTACAATTAGTTTAATTATTACGCGATTTTTTTATTCTCATATGTTATGTCAATGTTATCGTCATTCGCAGGACAAATTAGATTATGTTATTTTACTATCTAAAGTTACGTATATTATGTTACTTTGAACTTTCGATCCCTTATTCTTAATTATTCTATCATGGCTTTTTCATTCCAAAAATGTCGCTTACAGTTTTAGAAGAGCAGTCAAATGTGTTACATATCTACGTTAATTTTTTCCGAATTCATTTCTTACAGAGTGTATTTATATTTATTCTGTAGTTTTTATTCTGATATTCCTGGTCCTTGTTTTGTTTCTGATAGTGAAATATTATGGTTTATACATAATTTAATATGCATTGTATATATTAATCTTTTTTAAATAAATAAACAAATGTTGAACAAATAATAAGTTTTGACTCTCTTCTCTGAAATTTACTTATGTAAAATAATCGCCACGATTCTTCAAGCATTTCCGCTAAATTGTTAAAAAAAGTTATTAGACAAAAGTTAGTCGATATTTAGTTAATAATAAATTGCAATAATGTAAATGTGCAAAAAACTTGTTATTAAATAAAAAAACAGGATTATCACAATTTTTTTAATGATAACGTATATTTTTCTATACATCACTCGTTGTAGCTTTATATATTTTTTAAAAGGTGTTAGGGTACTTAGGTCGATTAGTCTAGAAGTTATTAATTTTGTCCTGAGCGCCCATATAGTTGACACGCGCTGAAAAGGGGAAAGTATCGGAGTATCTATAACAACTCGAAGAAGTTTAAAAATCCTCTTCAAGACACTCAGTGCGAAGTCAAAACATATATCAAGGAGAACGAATCCCTTCAATTATGACATCCACACATGTATATATTGACATTACATGTTAAGTATGCCAACACACGGTGGTACACTTTTCATTTAAACTACGATAAAATAATAAAAAAGATCATACATTAACTTTTTAGAGGTCGTTGTAAAGGGGAAAGAAAAATGAATTCTGAAAAAGTTGGTTAAAAAGTAGAAAGCAACTACCACAAATCAGATAATGGACACAGGATGTTGATTCGATCAGCGTGGCAATGAAACCCTTGCCTTGCTCAAAACGTTGAATTTTACAACATATTCCAAAATTATCGAAATCGAATATGACGGATACTTTCTAAATAATTACCATGTTTGATTTTGTTTTAAACAGAAAGATCTCACAACGACATTAGCAAAAGTTTAAGTAAACAAAGAATTTCATCATTATATTTGTTACGTCGCATGGAACATCTGCACCCCAGCCGACGCTACCTGGCAGCCAGCGCTCCACCTACCTTCTTCCCGACCCTCAATAAACCTAAGGACCCACCATAAAACGTCAACTTCTAGCTTAATTGTTTCCATATATTTGCCAATCTATTTGTCTAGAAGCATTTTCGGTTCATGTCCGGATTAGGAAAAGTCTTTGATTTTATTAGGCTCTTAAAAATCACGGGAAAAGCAGGTAGCCACCGAATGGGAAACCCCAACACATGTCCACCGAAAACGACTGGTTTTCCCCAGGAATGAAGTTAACCCCCACGCACGCTGGTGGGAGACTTCCTCATATCCTTCTTCATTAGCTGGGTCATAACCAATTGGCATCGCGGACGTTTACCCTCACTTCAATGACGAAAGGGAATAACGAATCCGCGTTCTTCGCTCAAAGGGCCCATCCACATCAAGCTTTCCCTCGGAAAAACATAAGAGCGAGGAGTCTCGATAAAACACCAGCTCAAGGAAGTCTTCACCAAGGATCAACTCAAGTCAGTCGAATACAGTCAGTCGGCACAACACAGCATCATACGCGACAACCCAAACGGAGTTTCAGGTCGTACTCATTCGTAGTCAGTTTTATCAACCATTCGTTCTTACGCTCTCGCCCTCTCATCCTCTGACTTTACGTTGCACATTCTGTTCGAGTCAAACATCACAACTGTTTCTTTTAACTCAACTCATCTTGTATACAAGGTGTCATAATAAAACACAACCGGAAATTTGTTACATCAGTGTACTATTCAATTAACCACCTCTATTATCCTAATCGTAATAGGGGATTGATCATCTCGCGGCGTCGATTGAACAATCGTAACGGCAATTTACGACTCCTGTTGATGCGCTTCTCCGCGATCGCGTCTCTCCGCGAGTGATTGAACAATATTAGTACTGTTACGTCTATATTTGAGTTCCTCCAGTGGTCTCACTTGACCTTTTCACCTCGAACTTTTTTGGAGAGGGGGGAGGAGGATTAGTTGACTAGATAGTAAAAAATAGTACTAGTGTAAAAAAATTTATGAGAAATGTAATTGATCAGAATCACGAAGGAAAAA